GTCCCTCGTTGCCCCGACTGTTTCTTTCTTCCCCACCATCCCTCCTTCAGTCGATCTTGTTGGCCTCTGTGAGCTCCCGAGTAGGGAGGAGGTTAGGGATGCTATTTTCGGGATTGATCCCAACAGCGTTGCTGGCCCTGATGGCTTCTCTTCTCTCTTTTATCAGGTCTGCTGGGATTTAGTCGAGCCAGATGTCGAGGAGGCAATGTTGGATTTTTTCTCCGGTCACCGGATGTCGGATTCCTTCACGTCTATCTGTCGTCTTGATTCCCAAAAGACCCAATCCGAGCTCTTGGTCCGACTACAGGCCCATCAGCCTGTGTAGCGTGACCAACAAGCTCATTTTGAAGATTCTTAACGGCCGTCTTTCCCCTCTTCTCCCCTCCTTCATCTCTCCGAACTAGAGTGGTTTCATCAAGGATCGGGTCATTAATGATAACATCCTTTTGGCCCAGGAGATGATCCACGACATCTCCCGTGCGGATTGGAAGCGAGCACCGAATATTGCGCTGAAGCTAGACATGGCTAAGGCGTATGATAGGGTGGAGTGGCCATTTCTTGGGGAGGCGCTAGCTAGGATAGGATTCCCTGAGCGTTGGATCAGTTTTGTAGAGGCGTGTGTGGATCACTTCACGTTCTCGGTCCTGGTTAATGGCAGCCCCACCGACTTTTTTCCCTCCTCTAGAGGTCTTAGACAGGGTGACCCTCTTTCCCCTTCCCTTTTCCTTCTTGCGGCGGACTACCTCTCTCGCTGCCTTGACGACTTCATCCGCAACTATCCATGGACGACCTACAACACCTGTGACTATGGTCCTTCCATCTCACACCTATCTTATGCGGATGACATCATCATCTTCATACGGGCATATGATGATGGACTTGTAACACCCCGACTTATCAGAGTAAATTTTTTTCGCAACTTATTTCAAAAATACTTACAAATTTTTGAAATTCTTCTTAACTCGGGATGCTACTAAACTTATCTACTTTAAAATCTGTGTTCTTTAAACTTGATCTAATAACTAAAATAAACAGATTTTAAATATTGAACATATATAAAAACCTTACTCGTTCTTAATTACAAACCAATAATTTATTCAAATCACAAATATAATCACACACGTT